ATTCTTTATTTTAATTTACCAACTAAAATGTACGAAACATTACTCGAATCATGTATGTAATGAAGGAAATAGTTGAGCTTATTTCCATGTTGATCGTTATGATAGATTTGAATGTGTATCCTATGCTGTGTATAATTATAAAGGCACTCATACCTACCTAACCTTGCAGAAAATTGTCAAATTGTACTGTTCCAAAAACAAGGACATATTACTTTAAGTAATTACGAAAAATCTAAGCGAAGGGGAGTGCGGTAACGCAACCAACAATACAATTTATTAATTATATTCAATTCAGGAATGACATGCGCGCAGCCAAGAGGCAGTGAGCTCGCTCTATTTCCCAGAACGTTCTTCTGCTACCGACCGCCATACTAAATAGACTAAATTGCAAGTACTTAATTGTGATGTAACGAACTGTGATTTTATTATCAAAAACCTCACTGTATTAATGTGATTGTTTATTGTACACCATCCTGGACCCGAACCCAAAATAACTTAGCTGAAGTGTAAAACTTCACACCAACTTAAATTCAGAAACTGCTGTAGTTGTCATAACGAAACTGAAACCCATTGTTTTTCTAGCCACATATTCGAACAATTTGCTCAGACATATGGATTCAGTCACATCAGGCGCAGTTCTAGATATCCTCAATTAAATGGGCAGGCGAATTCCGCTGTGAAAATAGCCAAGAATATAATTCTAAAATGCAAAGACCCAAACTTAGGACTGTTAAGTTATAGAACAGAGAGTGGATTTTCACCGGCAGAACTGATAAAAAAAATCTAGGAAATCAATTCCAGCCAACAAAGACAGATTTATCTCTAAGTGGAACTACATAAACGACTTCAAGGAAGTCAGAAGCAATGGAAAAGAAGTGCAAACATTGAATTTTAACAAGCCACATAGAGCAAGATCAAATTCCACCTTGAAAAATAACGATAAAGTTTTGGGAAAGTAATAGATATTGGACCTGAACCTAGAACATACATTATCGCCGCAGAAAATAACGTCATCGGGCGAAACAGAAGCCAAGTTATAGAAGTAACCTCAGAAGCGATGATAAGACTAGAGCAAGGGACAGATACTCGACTAGAGATATCCAATTGGGGAACTCCCCGAAAATTTCCATGATGAATCAAGCGCAAAATCAGAGGGTGACAATGGAGGAGATGATACGAACACAGAATACGGTTAAGCCGCATCACAAAGCAGTGGACCAGAAACTGAAGGCAATAGCTTTGAAAGTGACAACGACTCTAACCACTCCATAATATCTGAGCCAGGCTCCGAGTAGAAAACCGAAGTCTATAACTCCACTCACCAGAGATACACCACCAGATCAGAAAAACTAGTCAAGCCGGCACGTCGTTGCACTTGTAATGGAATGTGTGGTGAAGATTAGTTGAAACAAAAGTGAGAATGAACATTGTACAGTGTATATAGTGAATTAGTGTGTAGTTTTATCCATAACATTAATATACCCAGTGTAAATAGGACAAACAATGGTTTAAGGCTAGTCGCGCTGAATTCGACTGGAGTGCTAAGTTAAAAAGACACCCACAAAAGGGAGGATGAAGCATACTTGAGCTCGAGAGTCAGAATAGTAGCCCTCGGCATAGGGCCTAGCAGTTGATATCAGGTAAGCGTACCACAGGCTGCTACAATACCAAATATACAAAATATTGTAAGTAGAATACCTATGTCAAATGCAAAGAAGCTACAGAAATGGAAATGAAGTGAGAGTCCGAAAACGGAAGAAGCAAAAAGACAAAGCTCACAAACAGAATCATTATTTATTAATACCTAGTATTTCAATTTAAAAAAAAAGAATGGTAGATGATTATAAAAAAAAGGAAAATACATATTGTTTCAGATCCCATGTTTAGATAAATTTTGTAGGTACTTACTTAGGAAACAGCTCCCTGGAAGGCGCGCTAAGTAAATAACATACCCTGAAGATTTTTATCAGCAACTTTTCCACTTACTTTATTAAAGTTTGGCTTTTTTACTACTGCTTCCTAAACTGCGTTTCATTTATAATAATAATATTAAAAACCTATTGCAATTAAAGTCTTATATGTTATTGCGGAATGTTATAGGTATCGATTCCCGATAGACAGAGACTTCATTTGAAACCCGAGCCCAACGCAATGTAATCTATACAATTACATACACCGTTTGCATTCTCTAAAAATTATATCTTAGAATGTAGGTACTCATCTTTTCTGGGCAATGCTCTTTGGCGTTACACGGCCAAACCGGCTGGGCTGAGGCTATATGCTGCACACACACCAAGCGTAAAAAGTCGCGGTTGGTAATAAAGTAGCCATAAATTTATATCAGTTTTATTGGTAGAGATAGATAAGGTTCCCAGCACAGCAGTGTCGTCTTCGACATTCAACTAGAAAGGAACAGTTAAGATAAGTGTGAATTTATGAAAGGAACTGTGAAAAAATTCCTTTGGAAGAGGCTCTACGTTTATTATTTTTGAGCTTTTTAATTGGAGCGATATGGTCACTTATCGGTCTTTTATTTATTGAACATTTTCTAATAAAAGTCAATTTAATCTAAAATATTACCTATACTATGTGATTGAAGTTAAAATGAACTTATTTTATGAAGTAGGTAGGTACTTAACTTTTTTAGCTGATGTCTTCTCAATTCAACCCTTTAACGTTCTCTGGTGTAAACCTAGTACTACCTTCTTTATTCTTTATTTTAACTTCAAAATCAGGTTTTAATATATCCTAAAAACATCGTCATTCATACGTTGGTCTCCGAAGTCAGTTTATTACAAGATTTTTCTGGATGCGGTCGTATTTTTAAAAGTGGTACACCATATATACCAGTGGGACTCGAGAAGCATCAATTATGTTGTTTTATGTACTTCAATTCCTATTTTTATTAATATTTATATCCGGAAGGGATTTTGACGAATCAAAAAGGTAATATTATCTACTGTTATATGTATACTGAATAGATATAAATTGAAATTTCTAATGCTGTACTCAGTTATTTAGTAAAAAACTATACATATTTACAACCTGGAACTTATTTTGTGTACATTTTGAATTATTTTTTCCATAAGTTCTACTCCTAGTTCAAGATTCATATTTTGATACATGATACATGCTTCATATACATGTCTCCATAAAATATCAATCAAGTTTTCATCCTGTTCTTTTTGCGCTAGGAAAATTTTCCCAAATTATCGAATTTAGGTATACAATTTTACCATTGAAAATAATGTTTTGTGGTATGATAACGATAATGAACAATTTTAAATCGTACTAATTGTTATTATAATATTTTTCTGATTAGTTTTCGATTTATTCAATCCAATTTTCACAATATCCGATGATTAGGAAAAATTTAGACCGTATTTAGGATCATATGGAAGTAATGATACCTAAGGGTTTGTACCAGAGAACACTACCTACATATTTAGTCCTGAATGGTCTCTGGTAAAATGGTTTATTCGATTGCTAGTGACAAGTTTTCTTTTGTTGTTTCCAAAAGATTGCATAATTAGCATTTTCTGTATAAAACAGTTTCAGGAAAATTTTGCCTGTTTAAGGGTTAAGGCTGCTGTGATGTTTTCGAAAAATACGTTCCACCCTTATACCAAGTAGAGTTTTATCAACCATATTCATATCATCGTATTTTGTTTATCATTGGGCTAAACTGATTAGTGAATAATCGATCATGAATTTAAATTTAAAGTTTCCTTCCATCATTTTATTTTATCTCATCTGACTTGTGCTACTTCATTATTGTGTTTCGTTCAATTAACATAATACGGATCCTCTCTTTAACATTTTTTGAATTTCAAAACTGCCGATAAAATTCAAATTTCAATTAAAAACGTAACCAATAAAAGCCCACAAAAAAATATTCTATTAATAAAAATCCTCATAAACTGAAGATAGCCTATCTCAATATTTGACTCTCGGAAGATACACGCACCCAACTAATTTACCTGAAAATAATAGCGGTTTTAATGCCATATTAATGTCAACATAGAATTCTTCGGCATGAATAAATTAAGTAGGCATCCGATTTGATTGTGCTTTTCCGGTAGCTATTTAGATTCAAATTTTAGATGCCCATCTTATCTATTGTCCTAATCGCCCCGTTGAAGAACCAACAACGATCAAGGGGAGCCTTGTCTTTTGTTCGAAGTTAGTTCAAATCTAAGTATCTCTTTAGTTCCTCTGACCTCAGGAACCAATTAAGAAAATCAGAAGGTCTATTATTTACTGTTGAACATAAATGTTTCATGAATATAAAGTGCAAATTTGAAGCAGTATACCTAGGCGGATATAGTAATAGAACTATAAAAATTGTATTTTTGCTGAAAACCTGTACCTCTCTGTTCATTAGAGTATTAGAGTATTTCCTTGGTTTATAAATGCTCTCAAAATAAGAAAAAAATTGATTTTTTCAATTAAAATGGTTTTCCTTTTTTTTGTATGTCGTTTCGTCTTCTAGCAAAAATATGGAAATCTCTTTGTCCTCCTACAGTGACTCGGAAATACTCACAAAGATTGCCGAATATTTTGAAAACATTGTCAAAATATTGTTAAAGTTACAAGAACTTGAACTAATAAATTGGAAAGCTAATAGATATTATCGGTAGAACACAAAAACACAATATTTTAAGGAAATAGCTAATGCAATGGAACTTCGAATCTCAAATTAAGTTATTGAGTTGAAAATAAAACCATTTTTTACCAAAAGGCAAAGAATAATAATTCTTCCAAGGAAACTTTCTGATAAAATTTAATAGTAAAACTTTCCTGTTCTGAAATCCTAATATATAGCTTTAGTTAGATGTTTTTTACCCGTTCCAGTCAGTTCAATATTTTTGAAACAACTTTGAAAGCTTTCCGTAAATCCCTTATTACCATCCAGAAGTATCAATATTACCACTGTCTCGCCTTTAATGATAGATTCTTATCCCTATATATTTACGTTTCAAAAATAACAATAATGGTACCTTTGCATTCGTTGGCATCCCTGGCAGTAGCACGGCCCCAGGGCCTATCGAAATGGAACGGCTTGCATCTCTCACAATCCCTGCCGGCGGTGTTATGTTTACATTCACAAGCTAATTGCCCATCCCGGCCGATCACGCAACGACTTGCGTGACCGTTGCACTTGCAACGTCCTCCCACAGCGAAATCGGCCACCGCGTACTGGTGCGTCACTTGATGGTATCCGTGGATACCGTTGGAAGCCATCTCCAAAGCTACCGTAGGTTTGGTATTAGTGCCCGACGATGAAGCCTCGTTATCTAAAACTTGCATTTCGTTCACTAATTGAACTGAAGGTTCTCTGGTTAGGTTTTCTTCGTCAAAGTGTTGCTTGTTGTACATGTTTTCATCTACAAGAAGATCCAGATTGTCAGATAAGTCTTCCAGAGGCATGTGAAGGCGATTGAAGACTACTTTAATATCTGTAGCAGTTACCCAGTCTTGCAACACGGGCGAGTTATCAAAATCCAAAGCACTTGGACGTCCTTCCAAAGTACTAAATGCAATTCTGGAAGTTTGACCAAAACCAAAAGAATCTCCTCCAGTATATCGGTGAGCGTCTGTACACCTGGCTTCTTGCTCGTTAGCTTTGGTTATAGTGGCTCTATTGGGTCTACCATAAACTCTACGACACTGACTAGAATAAAATTGAAAGGGTTGCCAAGTTTTTCCATAATCCATACTTTTGTAAATAGCAATAGAATCTGGTTTAGGTGTATTAGGACAAAATTGCAAGCTCACATAAGTCAATTCATATTTTTTCCCCAAGCTCAAAGTAAGCGTCACGTTATCTGGAGGAGCATCAATAGATGTAACAGGAGGAAGCGGTTCACTTCTCCAACAAGTGACGTTATTGGGATTATTCAAATCGGTCAAATGGACAGAAGGAAATCGACTTTTGGTCAAACTGTTATCGCAAATGTGACACTGCGGTGTAGCACCAGGTTCGGGTGCTTCACAATAGTGAACGGGAGCGTGTAATCCACAAGTCGAAGATGCTTTGACAGGAACACCGAAAGCCGCATTGACAAAGTCCGGAATGCAACGTCGAGGACGGTCTTCGTCGTAACACGGGTCCGCAGGAGTCTGTTGACCCTCGAACATTTTCAGAAAGTTTTCGCTGACGCACCATGACAAACTCACAAGATTTACTAAAATGACTAATTTCAAAAAAGCCATTTTTCGTTTTTTTTTTTTGGAAAAATTTTCAAAATTTCATCTTAATGTTCGGAAAAAGTACGAAAAGCTCGCTAACGCGCGCTCTCTCGAGAGCTTCCGAAAGTTTATCGCGCGTTCTCACGTCGTGTCCGCACTGTCCGCCGCCGAATGACTGGCGAAGCGATGTCTGTAGAGGCCGGAGAAGCACCGCCCCCTTGAAAAAGGGCGCACACAACATCCAGTTCTCCAAGTGCCGTATAAGATGACTTGGTAGTTGATGATTGAGTCAATTAGAACGAATTAGTGATGTCGGCCGATATTAGCGTAAGCATCTTAGTAGAAACCGATCTGTGCCAATATTGTGTAAAGGGCACTTAACCAGCGCCAAATCCCTAATGGTGACTTGTACTCTCCGGAATGGTATACTGTAACGTACTATGTAATCTGGTGTTTGAACATTTTAAGGCTATGGTTTTTAGCTAGCTCTATACTTGTAATTTGACAGAAAAAAGTTTTTTCTCAAATCACAGAGGCCTTTAAAAACAAAGACAAAATAATAAATGCTATAAGAAAATATGCAGTTAAAAATCGCGAGAAAGAACAAAAAGAAAACCTACTCGATGCTAATTTTAATTTTTTCCTAAGATTTCAGGTAGGGCAGTCTTGGATAAGTTGTGGGTAAGATCCTCTATAGGTAATTTTTTAATGAATGAGTAGGTACGACAAAAAACCCACCAAATTTTAATCCCCTAAACTCCTTACACAGTGACCAAACAATTTCATTAGCCTCATTCGTACACACATACACAATTTTTGCAAACTTATTCAAGAAAGCCCACCCAAAACCCTTCATGAAAAATCCCCTTGCCAAACAATGGGTGTTTGGGTTTTACGCGTATTTTTGTAAATTCTATTACCCATAGGCGCAGGTAAGAGATTTTAGGAAAATAAAAAAAAATTATTTAAAAAAAAAAAAAATGGGTTTAATTTTCAATTCAAAGTACATTTACAAAAAATTTAAATCAAAATTTATAGGTATCCAATGGTAAAATAAAAAAATTAACATTGGTAACATCACATTAAGAATTGTTACGTATCTAATTTTCAGTCAATCAAGTTAGGAGATTGTTCGACATATTTTTGCTGCCTTTAAAAATATCAGGTTTCCAGCCTAGAATAATAAGAAAATTTAGATAGGATTAGAATAGGAAAATGTAAACAAATATTAGTAGGGTTAGGAAATTGTTTAAATCAGACAATGAACTTAAGTCAACTGTGGCACCAAAATTTGAATATTTAGTATTGAATGCGCAATATGCATTAATTCGAACTGTTCGAAAATAAACGAAAAATTCCCTAGAATTCGACTCGTGTAACCAGAAATTGTACTGTTGGAGGAATTTTTAGGTCTATAAACCTAGCAGTCCCAAGGTGGAAAAAAACTTCGGGAACTATATAATAATTAGGTGCTTTTTAGATGCTAATTAGGGCCTTTAATTAAAAATTAGGTGCTCCTTTTTTTGAGAAAATCGAAAAAAACTAAAGGACTGCTAGGTTTATAAAAGCTAGCAGTCCCCTATGGTAAAAAATATTTTTTAAAATTTTTTCTTTGTATCAGAATTAGGTGCTTTTTAGGTGATCCTAAATAGTCGAAGAAAAAATAGAATTGATTAATTATTAACTGAGTTACAGATTTTTTTTTAATTATTAGGGGACTGCTGACTTTACGTTTACACGTTGGTGTGTCAGAATGGCAAAAAAACTTCGGGATCTATATAATAATTAGGTGCTTAATTAGGTGCTTTTTAGGTTCAAATTAGGACCTCTATCAAAATCAAAAATACTAAGGGATTGTTAGGTTTATGAAAGCTAGTAGTCCCCTATAGTGAAAAATATTTTTCCAAAAATTACTTTTGTATAAGAATTAGTTGCTATTTAAGTGCTCCTAAATAGTCGAAAAAAAAATAGAATTGATTAATTATTAACTGAGTTACAGATTTTTTTTTTAATTATTAAGGGACTGCTGGCTTTACGTTTACATGTTGGTGTGTCAGAATGGCAAAAAAACTTTGGGAACCATATAATAATTAGGTGCCTTCTAGGTGCTAATTAGGGCATCTAATTAAAAATTAGGTGATCCTCTAGTTTTTGAGAAAATCAAAAAAAACTAAGGGAGTGCTAGGTTTATGAAAGCTAGTAGTCCCTATAGTGAAAAATATTTTACCGAAAATTTCTTTTGTATCAGAATTAGGTGCTTTTTAGGTGTTCCTAAATAGTCGAAGAAAAAATAGAATTGATTAATTATTAACTGAGTTACACATTTTTTTTTTAATTATTAGGGGACTGCTGGCTTTGCATTTACATGTTGGTGTGTCAGAATGGCAAAAAAACTTCGGGATCTATATAATAATTAGGTGCTTTTTAGGTGCTAATTAGGGCCTCTAATTAAAAATTAGGTGCTCCTCTAGTTTTTGAGAAAATAAAAAAAAACTAAGGGATTGCTAGGTTTATGAAAGCTAGTAGTCCCTATATAGTGAAAAATATTTTACCAAAAATTTCTTTTGTATCAGAATTAGGTGATTTTTAGGTACTCCTAAATAGTCGAAGAAAAAATAGCTCAGCAAATCGTACACAAATGTGTTATCCCTCTGGCCTGGCGTAACGATGACTGTACCGCACTGGAAGGTATCCAAGAATGTCTGTTGTAGATTGGAGCAACATAAAGTCCAGTAGATGTGGGAACGGATGTCCGCGAGGACACTAAGTGACTGGGTAAATCCGCAAGGGAAGCGTCTATCAGAGAATGATGGGGATTATCCATTCGAGGGGTAGGCACAGAGTGCGATTAATGTGTCGGTGGAAGTGATGCACGAAACGAAGCTTGAGATTGAGAGTTATGATCGACTTGGAGTGATCGGGATGCAAAATTATTATTCTGAACTTGCAATGTATTCCTGGACAAATCGAAAGGGTCGTTTGAATAGGACTGACCACGTCCAGAAAATTAGAATAGTCTCAAGATTCTTTCGAAATCCTAGGAGCTGAAAACAATCCACGACCAAAAGGAGGTTCGTGTATGGGAGGATCAGAAACCTCTTGATGTGTCTCTAACGGTGCTTGTCTGTCATCCAAGGAAATTAAATCGTTGGATACTTCAGGTTCCGAAGGAACCAGTTCAGAAGTGGCCATGTATTTTGAATGTAACTGTTGGGATAGATTATTGAAGCGTTCCCATAAATTATTCTTCAGAGTCTGATCAGCATTAGTATCCGGCAATATTCGAATTATTCTGAATTTAATGTGTTCAAGAAGTGTGCTAATTCTCCTGAAGTCAGAGTCCCTGTTGTCATCATTGAAATTCAAAATATCACGCTCCACTGAATACAATTTCGCACCACACAAACATAGTTCGCTAACTGATTCAAAAGGTGAAGAAGAAGGTGGTTGAACAGAACCCTCATGTTCCGACTTAAAAGCATTTCGAAGGACTTCTCGTCTCTGAGCGAAAGTACCTGTTATTGGTAAACCTCGAACTGTCGTACTTAAGTTCTTCATTACCCAATAAGTTAACGTCAATTGTAACAAACTGTAGCTCAATTAAAATATATATCTAAAACTGATTTGTTATATCCAGAGACCGATCACGATTAAATATTGTTCTACAAAAAAAAAAAAAAACAAATACGAAATTCCAAATATTTATCCAAAATTCCAGCAAATCGAAAAATTTGGTGTGACTTGTCCAAAGGACAAACCCGACCCAACCAAAAAAATGAAAGAAAATTTTTATATAATTCTTCCTTGTACTCCATTTTCCTACTTAATAAAGAACATTATTCACATTAATAACCAAAGGTTCAACTGTCAATTAAATTGTCCAGTTTCCAAATCATTTGCTCTATGCCAAGAATATACCTAAAACATTTCTGCCATTCATCACATCTACTTCTTGAATTACCTCGTGAAACACATGTTCAACCTCCAAACTTCTGTGTCTTCTTGCAACTTGCAACATATCCCTCGGGCAAATTATCTCAGAGAGTAACCTTAGAACAATTAATTATTCTCCGTTTTTTGGCCATTTCATCTACGATACAATTGCAAGCATATCTTGCTACACCATATTTTGTTCGAAGGAATCGAAGGGTTTTTTTTTCCAATAGCCAATCTTGTATTTGCGCCAGGGTGTTATTGTTTTTTTTTTCTACTTTTCTGAAGTGGTATATATCTGGCATTATCCATTACTATAACTGAGCTTCGGATATAAGTTCTATCATACATCGGCATTGATATCCTCATGATAGTCGGGGCGGTTGATCAAAAAAATGCGCAGAATCTTGCAAATTGTGATAAAAGCATGAAATTTGTTACGGATGATTTTTTTACAATTATAAGCATGACACCCTATTCGGACCCATAGGAGCAAGATGGTGCCCATTCGCAAAATGACGGCTACCAAGAGGTTATAATTTTCAATTGTGGATCGATTGTATCAAAATTGTGGTTGTTTTCGAATAATTTTGGGTCAAAAAATACAACGGAACATGTTTTTTTTCTACTTGCGTGCGTAAAGTTATTACTTTGCGCACTAATTTGCGTGCGCAAAGATGAACTTTGCGCACGGAAACTCTTTGCGCACAAGAAAAGCATTCAGGTTATGTTTAGTTTTTTAATTTGACACTTTCTGTATTAAGGAGTGAGCGGAGGAAAAATCCAGCAAAAATAGATGTGAAGTCAGGTGACCGTTATTGGCATGGGGATTCACCAACTCACATTCCTTTAGAGTATTAGATTATAAAAGTCGGACTGTAAGTTATACTCCTCCACATACTCCCCAACTTAATGGTTCTACGGAAGAATGAATCAGACACCAATAGACAAAGCAAGATCTATGATAATGCAAGCAAAAATGGATAATATATTTCGGGAAGATGCTGTACTTGTGGCTACTTGAAACTAATTTAACAAGTCACACGAAAAAATATCATCCTGGTAAATTAAGTCTCAATTTGGCAGGAAAAACAAACCTAACGACTTGTTCAAATTTTAAGAAAACCTCGCTAGTACAACCAATGTTGCAAATAAAGTCAAGCTGGCTGATCACTGAAAAAAAAAAGTGAAAACACAACACATTGAACTAGGAGAAAAAATTTCTAGTTTTGAGCATCTGGAAACATTTAAGAAGATTAGGTACAGCTCTTCTCT